GTTTAGAGCAAATTTGGGGAAGAATCCCCCAAAGGAGCTCCGGTGGGAAAAGCAGATCCAATCGGCCCCTCCCCCCAACTGGTCTGGGAGGGAAAAATTCCTCCTTGGAGAAAGGTGGAAAAAAACCTGTTTATTAAACAATAAAACCAAAACAATATCAAACAATGAGACCCCTTGCCACTCTAAAAAGAGATGACAAACTGAGAAAACCCCCGGTTGTAGCTCAGCTCACTCAGTCTCGGGTCAGTCCCTCCGGTGCTGGAATTGTCGCAGGACGGGCCTGGCCCAGTGGGCCACAGCTGCAGCTGCTGGTGCTCTGCTGGTGTTCAGTCCAGAGCAGTTTCAAGAGGTCCAAAGAAAAAGGAAAAAAAACAGTCCAGGGAACTTCTTTGCCTCAGCTAGCTAACACTAACTAAAAGCAAAGGAGAGCTCTGTCCTGCTGTCTGTTCATCCACAGACAACACAGTCCAGGAGCAGCAATGTGGAGGAGTGAGTGCAGAGTCTGAGGACAAACTGCTGCTTCTTCTCTGCCCCCTTCACTCTCTGCAACAAGTCATAAAGTTGCAGAACTTATTATTCAGCATAAACAGAACAAGACTACTGGGGATAAAAGCATCATATAGTCAACCCAGGACAGCCATGATGGTCCATGAACCTGGGGATGCACCTAGTGTTTTGACAGGTGGAAAATGTGTGTATGCACATGTAACACCAATTATATCATGTTAAAATCACAGATATCTCACCCTAATTCCAGGAAAGTAGGATGTGCTCCCCTTCTGTGAATGCCACCTGGCTCAAAGGAAGTGGAGCAGAATGAGAGAGTTTGACCCCCAAATCTGACACTTAGAAACAGTCTTAAGAAGAACCAGAGAGGTGTGGAAAGACTGGAGAGCCCAGAAAGCCTGATGAGCTGTGAGAAAATTCCTCACTCCTCATGGACATGTTTCTCTGCCCAGAAGGAGCAGTGAGAAGTCCTTGCTGATGCTTGTCCTGAGCCACTGAAGACCTGGAAAGAACACTGTCCAGCTGCTGCATGGTGGCAGGGCATATCTGTCTGGGGTGCCTGGGTTTGGTGGCTACCAGCATCTCCAAGAGTGCTCTCATAGCTCTGCTCATGATTAGATGATCATCATCATGTTCTTAATGCCAGCACATGCCCCGAGGCAACAGACCAAGTGCTGGGGTTTGTGTGCCAAAATGAGGAAAGTTAATTCAACACCCTTGATAACAACAATAGTACTTTGTGCTTTTGATCTTCAAAGCACTTTACAAACATTAGCTAATTAATTAATCCTTACAATACTCCTCTGCTATTATCCCCATTTAGCAGATGGGGAAATTGAGTCAGAGGAGTTAAATGACTTGCCCAGGGCTATGTAGGAGTTGGCATCCAGGCTGTGATGGGGAATTCCTGGCTCCTCCTTTCAAATCTCCAAAACAGCTGTGGCTGCTGTTACAGACCTGAGACTGGCTTAACTACAGAGGCTGGAGGGAGCAGCTTGGCAGGAGCTCTGATTCTGAGGTGTCCACCAGACATGGACATGCCCAAGTGCCACCTTCAGACTTGCACTCTGGTGCCAGTAGGGATTGGTGAATAATTTATTGTTCTCCCCTGTCTACAGAGCCTCTGGAAAGGAGCTGACTCATGTCTGGCCAGCCCGGCCCTGAGAATCATCTGTCTGTGCAAATACCCACACTCACCCCTCAGGTGGGGGTCTCCCAAAGACACTGCCTCCAGCAGGGATAGAGAGGGAAATTCTAAGCCTGCTTCATAGTCAGGAGACAGGGACATGGAAACAGAGGTGGGGACACCCAAGTATAAAAATTTAAATTTTTATTTTACAAGATCCTCATATAAGGAATGAACTGAGAGGTTAATGGATGTGGACAGTATGCTAAGGGAAATAATGAAAGTTCTTAAGTTTTACTCACCCAGGTATTTCTGTACCTGATAGAGTACCAAGATAATAATTTCTTCTACTGCTTAAGGATATGATTGCTCAAGATTTATTGCAAAATCAAGATAATTACTTAATATCAAAGGAACCATTTTGGCTCCAGGTAATCTAGAAAAGTAGTCAATACTACTAGATAACAGTTATGCATTAGTCAAATAAGCCTAGGAAGAGTAACAGTGGTTTAAAAATTATATTGTAATTTGCAGTGCACATTTTGCAGTGGATACAGCACTGGTTTTCATCACACAAAAATATGCTGTAGAATAAAAGAAGGTGAAAAAAAATCAAAAGGATAGTCTTTCACTTCTACATGATTGTGAGAAATTTGGCAAATTGGGAAAGGATGACCTCCTTTGAGAGGCTGGTAATGCTCTTTCTAGTGCAGCCCAGAATGCTTTTGGTTGTTGCAGCCAGAGCCCGTTGCTGGCTCATCTTCAACGTGTTCACCAGAAACTTCAGCTTTTTTTCTCTTTTCAGCTGACCATCCCCAGCCCGTGCTGGGCCATGGGGCTGTGCCTCCCCAGGGGCTGCACTTGGCATTTTTCTGTGTTGGTCCTCAGGACGCTTCTGGTCCATTCCTCCAGCCCATCCAGGTCCGTCTGACGGGCGGCACAACCATCCGTTGTGCATTGGGCACTGCTCCCAGCTCAGCAACACCTTCAAACCTGCTGACTGTGATCTCTGGCCATTTGTCCAGGTCACTAATGGAGATGTGAAACCCTACTGGCCCCAGAACCATCTCCTGGGTGCATATTCAGCAGCTGGTCTCGAGGTGAACTTCATAGCCCTGATGCTCCCCTTTGTGTCCAGCAGGTCAGTCAGTCCCAACCCACTGCAGGAGCCTTTTCAGCATGGGGGGATACCAGGTTGTTTCAGTCTGCCTTCCCCTCTACACATTCACATTCACTACTCCCCATTTCATGATTTCCAGGATTGAGGTTTCCAGAAGCACCTCTTTTACTGAGTTGGATGTTCTGTTGCCTGCCTGCCATGAGTTTAAAATGTGCCAGCTGTGGAAAAAAGAAGGCAAGTGTATTGCTTAAATGAAAGTTAGTGGATATATTTCTTCTGGCCAAACTCTTTGCTACCTTATTTAGATTTTAAAATGTATAGTCTGCACAACCCTTGATCAATAGTTTGAGCTGACCTCTGAGAATGTCTCCCATGGAGGAGCAGGGGGCGAGATTTCCCAAAACCTGCAGAGTCAGTGTCCAAGCACCTGTGCTTGCACAGCATGCAGGAAGCTTTGAGCAGGCTGTGTCTTGACTTTGGGCTCTTTGCTGCCTCATGGGAGCCATCATCACTTGGCACAGGATGGAAATGCCTGCAGGCTAACATCACTTCTGTGAAAGACACTGCAAAACTAGACCAGAGCCAAGGTGACACAACCATCTCCTCACTTGCAGGGTTGATCAGTGATTATCAACCACGCATGAGAACATCCAGAGATGGGAACAACTACAGACACTTGCATGTGGCCAGAAGGACACATTTCCCAGAATCTAAAAAAGGACAGAGTGAGTTTCCTCCTCACTGCGCAGCAAGGGGGTAGAAGGCAATGAACACAGACTGCAATAGGGGAAATTCTGACTAGATTTGGTAGAAAATTGTCACCCTGATTTTTTAAGACTTTCCAAGCCTTCTCATGTTTACATTCTTGTAACGAACTTTCTCACACACTTTCTGTAAATAACTTATTGTTTTGCATTCTTTTATGGAGGAAGAGAAATTTGATGGACTGTTGGTTTGTCCAGTGTCATTGGAGAGGTGGCACTTTCACCCTCCAATCTGCTGTCACTTTTGGAAATCTGTAAATGTTGGAGTCAGAAAACAAACTACCCATTTTTACCTTAAGAACAGCAGTGTATCTGTGTTGTGTTGTTTTGTGTCTTATAGTGACAGAAAATACCCACTGGACATAGCCCTGAGCAACCTGATCTACCTGAACTTGGAGGAGGAGGTTGAATTAGATTTACAGAGATCCCTTCAATCCTGAACATCTCTGTGGATCTATGAAATCTAAGTTTGCATTAAAACTTCACCCAGCACTGGGGTAGGAATGTAGCACAAACAGGAATGTAGGACACAGTGCTCATCTGTTAATGTTTCTCAGCCCAAAGGGAAGGGAAAATACCCTATCATTGTATAAAAGATGGAGAAGCCAAATCCAGAATAAATACATCAAGTTGAGGCTACTTCTTATATTCATCTGGTTCAGTAATAAAACTACTTACAGCAAAGAGTCACTTCTAGCACCACAGAAATGGAAGACTTGATATTAAATAATTACAACAAATCTAAATATAGTGGGAGGCAAATAAAGTACCAGAGAAGTTAAGAGCTCTGCAAGAGATATGAAGTGTGCCCATTATGAAGAGCTTTCTGAATTGAATTTATAATGTTATATTCATGTTAAAAGGAGTTCAGTATGTTTTTAGTGGGAAAAAATAGCTCTTGGTACAGATAAAAATAGATTGTCCTGGGATTTTCCTTTGCTAGAAATTAAAGTATCTCACAAAATTATTAATAGCTGTGTGTCTTCATGATGCTAGTGAATTTTTCTGTGGAAAGGTAAAGTGATAGAAGGTTCTGATATTTCTCCTTCAACATTCTGACAAGAAAACAATGCCTTCTTCACTATTTATTGTTTTAGAAAGAAGGAGTATTGCTCAGCTGCTTCACCTCAGAGGTGTCTGATGGCACTTTCCACAATCAGCACTGACAGTTCAAGGATGAAAGGTATGGTGTACATTCTTGTTACTCAAGGGTTAAAGAAGGTCCCATAAATAAATTATGGATGCATTTTTAGAGCACTTTGCTAAGAACAAGAATGGCAGAAAATATCACAAGGCTGTCAAATCAGATTAAAGCCCATGTGCTCTGAGTAATCTGTGGGGAAAAGTAACAAACTGTATGTTTGTCATGTATTAAAGATATTTTCTTAAAAAGCTGATTGGCTGAATGAACATAGGAATCCACCCTTGATTTTTCTTATCTCTCATGGTTTGTCTCTTATGCTTAGTTTTAAGTATAACTTACCAAATAAGTGCAGCCAGCAACATATCCCAGGTGAGCAGAGACTCCATCAAGAATAAAGCTGTGGAATTGAGTGTACATGTTAATTCCTGTGTATGGATAAAAATCCATAGTATGTCTATGCATTTTCTCAGCAAGGTTTTCTAAACTCAATCACTTGGATGTCTTGAAAGCTTAAACTTAAAACTTCTGCTGTTTCACAGCACATAAGCAGAAGGTTTGTTTTTCAGCTCCTCATACCAGATTTGGAGGAATTTACATAAATCCCTCAGAAGGACAGAGCTACTGCTACAGCAGTTTGTCAGCTGTTAATCCATTATCCTAAAGATCTAGAAAATGAATCAGGTAACAGAACAGAACCTTATCAAGTAATTGTGCCTAGAGGGGTGCAAGGATCCTGGTGGAAAGGTAAGCAGCAGCTTTGAATTTCCAGAACTGTCCCTGCTGGCTTTTATTCTGGATGTTCTGGGTGCCACTGTTGGACTAATACCCTGCACAACCCCTGCACCCTCTATGTCCATTTTCCATAGCCTGTGGACCAAAAGGATCAATATTGTGGTGTGGCCAAGCTTTCGTCTGGGAAATGGAGTGCTGAGGTGTGTGTCACACCTAAGCCCAGCTGTGTCCATGGGAACTACAGGCACAGCAACCTTTGCATCACTTCAACCACCCCAGGAACAATTCATTTTCCTGTGTCAGTTTTAGGGATAAGAGGCCTTCATTTGTCCATAAAACAACCTTTCAATATAATGTTCTATTGCACTCAGTTGGACTCAGAGGCAAGTCAAAGTAAATAAAAGACTTCAATTTGATAGATGGAAAATACCAGCAGACAAAGGACAAAAGAAATAACTGAAACCCTCTCACTGTGTGACACCTTATGAGATGGTCCCTTGTAGATATGTAACATGTTAAATACCTGAGGCAGAATCTAAGGAGTTAATTAAGTGCCTTGCAATTTGAGCAAGATGTTAGACCAAGAGTAAGAAAAGACTGTTCAAGTCAACCCTGAATTACTTGTCTTTTGGACTACAAAAGAGAGATACTACTGGAGATGTATGTGAGATTTGTACCAGATCCCAAACATAATTTGTGGCCTTCTCTTCCTAACAGTGTCTGGATTGGCATTTCTCTCCAGCTGGCTGATGGAAGTCCAGGATACTGGTTATCAGGGAAAAGTCCAAGCACAAGTGTACCTGTAAAACTCAGGAAATTTCATAACCAAGCTAATACAATTTTGAGTTTTTATCTGCAAGAGATTTGAATCCCAGTGCTGTCTCACAGGATGGGGTTTTTCATTTGTTTATTTGTTTGTTTCAAAATGTTTTATTTATTATAGCTATTTTTAATATAATCTGAGCATTCACTATTGTCTTTCATTGTTCACAGCTCCAAAACCCAGTATCTCCTCATGTAGATTGTGAAGAAGATTAATAGTTTATAAAATTTAAGACATTCTCTACAGCTATATATTTTCTGCATAAATACTTTTTGCATTCTATATATGCTATAAATTCTGTGCTGTGACTTAGTACAATGAAACTCTTTTATAAAACACTGTCAAATTAGAGATTTCTGAAAAAGGAAAGCTAATCTACCAAAGGGAGATACACATACAGATTAGCCTTGCATGTTTTAAACCCCCCCAAAGGATTAATGAACATTTCTCTCTGAATTCCCATTCACTTCAATGGGATAAGGATTTCCCCCAGTCCCAGTAGTGTTTATTCTTTATAAACAAATGTTTATAAACATTTGCAGGATTGAGCTGTGTTTATGACCCAAAGAACATGTTGGACCTGGAGTCACCTACTGTGGAAAATACCACTCAGTGCCCATTGGATTCCTGATTCACTGCAGTTGGTTTCTAAGCTCAGTAAAGCCTGTGGAAAAAAAATTATGTTATGAAATCCTAACTACAAATGTTACCACACATATAACCAGATGTCTAAAATGTCAAAAATAGGAGAACTAATGCAGACAGGGGTAAGAATTGATAGATTTTAAAAAAATGAAACAGTCACCAGCAGATGACATCTGGAAATGGACAGGAGTATGAAAAACAAACAGTAATTCATTATTTTTTAACAGAATGCAAAAAAACCACTGTAAGTGGCAGATTTGATCACTTTAGTTGACAGTTCTCAGGATATTTAAGATAAATTCAAATTTAAATGGATTCTTGAAGTAATTTCAAGGACAGTAATTTTAGAAATAAATAACCATTCTTAATCTCATAATAATTGCTTGACTCCAGGAAAAAAGGAAAATTGCATTGGCAATGCAGCCAATTTTATTTAGAGTGGATGGGATAAATTCATTACACCCAATGTGTTGAATGCTTTGTGGGAAGGAATGCTGTGAATATTGTAAGGGCAAAAGGTACAAGTGCAGAAGAGCTGTCACTTTACAAAAAAAAAAATTCAGAGGAGGAAATTGCTTAGCAGAGGTGCTTGTGCTGATGGAAAGGACATGAACCCCAAGGATATTCAGTTTGAAGGCAGCAGGTTCAGATCTGCCTCTCCATTCATGTTTAAGATGAAAAGCTCCCCAAACCAGGGAGCAGCACTTCATCTCCCATCCTGCATGAGGCTGCACTGATGGCAGATTTTGCTTCCTGTGCTTCCTGGAGGACAGGTTACACATGAGGAGGAGCATCTGCCTGTTCCAGGAGAAATGGCACTGCAGGAGATTTCTGCATTCCCAGTTTGGTTGCATAACTCTGCTGGTATCACTGTACCACCCTAACTAGGCCACCAAAACTCCAAGGGTTTGTTTGTGCACCATATTATGCAATTTCACGCAGTGACACCCAAATTCAACCTAAATGATTCTCTCTATTCAAAGCAGTCAGGCTGTGCCAGTGCATCGTGCTGCCTTATGTGTTTTTAATCTTTTACAGGCTTCTTGAAAGCCAGCTGGGCATTCCTGCATGGTACAACACTGAGCAGTACTGTAATTAACCTGGCATTATCCAGGCATGTTTTGCTACCTAGACCTGTTTCTAGAAATTATCATGACAAACACTACAGAAAAAAAATGCCAATACACTTGCTTGTTATAGTAGCAGTTGCTCATACATCACTTCTGAGAGAAATGTTTCAGTTTCGGCTGAATTTCTTTTCCCAAAGTTCAAACTGCTTCAGATTTTGGATTTTGATGCAGAAGAAGAAGGAGTTTCAGGTTTCTACTGAAATGTCATTCTTCATTCCTGTTCTCACTTGTGTCTAAATTTTTTTATCAACTGCAGCTATTCAGACTTTTCCAGTTGAAAATAGTCTTCATGAGCAATTCCACTTCCTCCCCAAGGAACATTCTCAAGGAAAAATGTATTAATGGAAACATTGCCACTACTGAAAACGAAAGATTTTCCCTAGAAAAACAATAACAGAGAAATTACAAGAAAATTTCAGTAGGCAAAGTTATGCTCTCTGCTATTAAAAATATCATATGGAGGGTTAAATATTAGTGTAGAATTTCTAAGAATAAAGAAAGATGTAGTAGCTGCCCTTAAGAGTTTATAATTTAATTTCTGCTGGTAACAACAGAGAGCTGGGGTTCCTGGGGAGCAGAAAAAGAGGAATACACAGAGCAACCTGTGTGCTGAACCCAGGCCACAATGTGGTTTGCTTGCTGGCTTTGCATGCACAGATACAATCACTTGTTAACCACCTAAAGCCAGTTAAAAGATTAGCCATGCCACAGAGATTGATGCTGTTAAGATGGATCAGAGAAATGTGGCTCAGGGTTTAAATCAGCCTGGAGATTTGGATGACCACAGCCTGCACTGGGAAGGACACCACCCAAACCCCTGACAGTCCTTGCCACCTCTGTCTGGGGAACACAGAAATCCCCTCTCCACCCCAAATCTGGTGATTGGTTTAACAGAAGCACAGGCACAGGGAGCACTGATGTGGTCCTGAGGTGGAATCAATCTCTGATTTCTGCTCTCCTGTGAGGAAGGCAATGTGTTGGACAGTCTAAACCCATATGAGGGAGCTTTATGTTTGACTGAGGGATCATCCCAGTGTCTCAGAGAGACTCCTTCCTTAAGCAAAGTAGAAGATGTCAGGTCCCTGGTGGTGTAGTTCTGCAAAGCCAGCACTAACATTAAACAACTTATTTTCATAGACAGCAAATACAGAGTGTCATCAGAGTTAACAGAGGTTACTTTCATACTGATCAATGAAGTGGGCCTGACACAGACCCTTAAGTTGGAGTTCCTCTGGCATGAAGGAGCCCATATTCACAGTTAATTTCCCTTAACCTGCTGAGTAGGGTGACCACATGCAAAACCCTTATTGGAACCAGTTTCTGGTCCACAAGTCATGCCCAGAAACTGGAAAATGTGCATTATCTTAGGACAGAGCCACATCTGCAATCAGAGCAGAGGCTGGGCAAGGTGACTACAGGGGCTCCTCCCAGCATTAAATTTTCTGTGATTTAATGGTGTTGTCAGTATGGATCAGCAAGTTTCAGTGCTTGAAGTGTTCCTGGGTTCAACCATGTGCTTGTGTCCATGTAGTCCTTCCTGGGGACAGACAGAGGCTGTGGCTGCCCTGGTGAGCACCCAGACAGCCCAGCCTGGAGTCACAGACCATGCAGGAGAGCACAGACAGTGACTCTTGTTATTTTCTGTCTCAATGGTCTGGAAAACGAAAGCCCAGTAAGGTGGGAGAACTCCTAACGATGCAAAATCCAAGAGCAAGAAAACACAAAATGATCTGGAGTGACTGAAACAGCAAAACCAGCAAGATGCAGCTGTGGAAATGGAGAGCAAAGGTGGGGAGGTGAGGTTATCATGATGAAGGATGATGTGTGGAGTAGGAAAATTCAATTAAAGTCTTTTGACACTGTGAATATAAACTGGTGAGCCCTGGTTATAAATACAAATTCAAATATTTCTCATTCTCCTCTCGCAAATATTTTTCCTTGTGCAAGAGGAATTCATAAAATAGCTTTGACCTAAACAATTTTTGAATTGTTTTCCAGTACAGAAGATCAACTTTTTTCCTCAAATTTTCAATGCAAAATTAAAAAGGAACTCCTGCAAAAATAAAT